ATATAAACATTCAACACCGGCCGCGTTGAAGCACGATCATGTGTTCAATTTTCTGGCAGCATCGCTAATTTGTGAACTGGACGCCTCAGAATTCCGTTGCTGGTATTGACGTCAACGACCCTGACCTTATTGTCGCGACCTGTAATTACGGCTTCCACCCTTCCGAGCTTCCACTGGTGAGAGGGAAGGTTGTCTTCTTGGACGACGACTAGTCGGTCGACTGCGAGATTCGGCTGCTCGAACTCCCACTTGTTCTTGGGCTGCAGCTGTAGGATGTAATCTTTCGACCAGGCCTGCCAAAACCTCCGTTTGAGCTCGCATAACAGACGCCAACGTTTCAAAGTGCTCAATTTGTTGTCGCCTTGCGCGGATTCTTGCGGCAGCGTGTGAAGAGTACCTCCTATCAACAGGTGTGCTGGTGTTAGCGCCTCTTTGTCGTTTGGGTCTTGACTCAATGGACTGAGTGGACGAGAATTTAGCAGGGCTTCTACCTCTATGAGCACTGTTTGCAGTTCTTCGCTGGTAAGGAGCGCACTGTTGGTTGTTCGTTGTATGTGGTGTTTTGCCGACTTTACCGCCGCTTCCCATAATCCTCCGAAATGAGGTGCCCTGGGTGGTATGAAGACAAACTCTATGCCCCTTTGTGCAGCATAGTATGCCAGATCGTCCTTGTGCTCTCGAAACGCCTCTATCAGCTCTCTCAGCTTGCGATCGGCACCTACAAAATTTGTCGCATTGTCGCAATAGATTTTTTCTGGGAGTCCTCGTCTTCCGGCAAACCTTTTAAGACAAAAAATAAAACAGTTAGTTGTCAGATCTGTTACAAGTTCTAAATGTATAGCCTTTGACGTGAAACAAACACTGCGATATACATTTTAACTGGTGGTCGACCACGAATTTTCAAAGTGGTGTATACAGGCCCACAAAAATCGACACCGCTAATTAAAAAGGGTCGTAGTGCCTTTAACCGATCTGCAGGTAAGTTTCCCATTACTTGGGTCAACAGCTTAGGTTTGTATCGAAAACAATGTATGCATGCTCTTACGGTTTTACTGCATGCCTTGCTTGAATTTATGACCCAAATTTTTTCACGAAGCAGCACTTCTAAGGCTTTTGGACCAGCATGACAATTGGTTGTGTGGAGAAATCGTAAATAAATCTCGACAAAATGCAATTTCTTAGGTAACAGCAAGGGAAATTTTGAATCATAAGACAGTGGTGCGTTTAGTAGACGACCTCCTACACGAAGCAAATTGCATGTTCGAGAACCATCTTGGACTGTATGAATGAACGGAGTTAGTTTCTGAATGCTAACTGGCAATTTATGCGACTTCTTCATTTTTTCGATCTCATCCCTGAATTCGTGATTTTGAATGAATTCAACGATTTTCAAGAATGCCCAATTAAGCTCCTTTGATGTCGGAATAAGAGCGTTGGCTCTCTCATTTTTCTTAGTGATAAAACGTAGAATGTACGCGAAAATTCTCAGCAGTCTTGGGTAAGATGATTGGCTACAGATTAGTTTTGAAATGACATTAGTTTCAATTTCAACTGCTAAAAGTCCGACCTTGACCTTTCGTTTCTCTAAATTTTTTTCATCTGTTGATAGTGGAAAATGACTATTTTTTGGCCAGTTAGTTGCATCTTGAAGCAAATATGATGGGCCACGAAACCAAATTGAGTGAATCAACTCATCTACATTACATCCTCTGGAGACTAAGTCTGCAGGATTTAGCTTTGATGGAACGTGTCTCTAAAGAACTTCGCTCGTCCATTCTTGGATCTCTGCAACTCTGTTTGCTACAAATGTTGCTAAAGTGGATGGGTGAGTTTTAATCCAATGAAGTGTAATTTCAGAGTCTGTCCAAAAATAAACATCACCGATTTCGCAAGTTATCAACGGCTGAATTCGATACCATAGTTTAGCCAATAAATGAGCGGCACACAGCTCTAATCTGGGTACTGATTTTGTGCTTAAAGGAGCAACCTTAGATTTGGCAGTTAACAACTCAGAATGAATCCCATTCGAATTATGGATTCGGACGTAGATGCAACAGCCGTACGCTCTTATTGACGCATCGGCGAAACCGTGAATATCGCATTTTATATTTGAATGAATATGAACATACCGCGGAATGGAAATAGAGTCCATCTGAGTCAGGTTACTTTTAAATGCTTGCCAGCTAGAATCGAGATGCATAGGAATTGACTCATCCCAGTCAAGCTTCTGAAGCCAAAGTTCTTGCAATAAAATTTTTGCGTTAGTCACTATTGGGCATACTAGTCCGAGGGGATCGAAGAGCCGAGCTGATACTGATAGTATGTTTCTTTTTGTTGCTCGCAATTCATGAAACTTTTCGTCTACATGGAACTTAAACGTATCATTCTGGGGAATCCAGTGTATACCTAGCGCCTTTGTGGAATCAGTATTATTAACATTTAGAAAGAAGTCTGACGAGTCATACGTTTTATGGTTTGAAAACCATTTCGCTAATTTAAGTCCAGCCGAATCAAGAATTTCAGTACATTGGGTACGAATTGTTTCCAGTTCCTTCAGACTGTCAGCTCCAGTCAATAGGTCATCGACATAGAAGTCATGTCGGATAACCCTTGCTCCAACTGAATGAGAATTCTTGTACAGGTCACTTAAGTAGTTTAGGCAACGTGTTGCCAAGAAAGGAGCAGGTGAAGTACCATATGTCACTGTGTTCAGTTTATAAACGCTAATCTGATCCGTAGGTTTTTCCCTCCAGAGAATAAGCTAAAAATTGCGATCTGCCTCGTCAACTTCGATTTGACGGTACATTTTTGTAATGTCAGCAGTCATCGCGTATTTGTGCATACGAAAGCGAAGTAGGATTGAATACAATTCTTCTTGTACCGTTGGACCAACCATTAGAATGTCGTTCAACGACACTTGTGAAGATGTTCGGCATGAAGCATCGAACACGACGTGAAGTTTTGTCGAGGTACTCTGAGGTCTCAACACACACTGATGCGGTATATAGTAATGAGGTGTCGAAGAAAAGTTGTCAGTAGTTAATGTCATGTGACCTAAGTCACGATACTCTGCCATAAACTCCATATACAGCTTCTGAAGCATACAGTCTTTCGACAACCTGCGTTCCAGTGAGAGAAAACGATTTTTTGCTGTTTCATATGACTGACCTAGAAGGTTGGGGTTGGACTTGAAAGGAAGCTGCACCTTAAGCCTCCCTGAAGGTAAGCGTAAAATTGTGTTGAGAAACTTGGTCTCACAGTGTTGTTGTTCTATTGTGTATTTTTTGACAGTGAGCTCCTTGGAAATTTCTTCCAATTCCCAGAATTTTTTCACAAGAGAGTTTAAGCAGAAATCACCTGTTGACTCTGCTTCTTGAAGGCGTATTAAATTGCATATCTTAGATGCATTACTTGGGACATCTTTATATTTTCCTGATACAATCCATCCAAGTAAAGTTTTTTGGAGAATTGGAAGATTAGTACCTTGTTTTATTTGTCCAATCGACAACAGTTCGAAAAAGCTTTCGGCACCAAGTAGAAGATCTATCTTTTGAGGTTTGTGAAAGTGCGGATCAGCAAGTGAAAGATTGGAAGGAACATTCCAATTACTCATTGACACAAATTTGTCGGGTTGGTAAGTGGAGATTGAAGGTATTACCCAAAAATCAGTAGAAAACTCATAAGAGTTAATACGTGATCTCACAGTGGCATGTAATTTTTGCCGTACTGTGGAGTTTGTTTCACCAATGCCAATTAGGTTTAGAGTTTTCGCTTCTTTTTTTAGTTGCAGTCGTTGTGCAAGTTCCTCGGTTATAAGGTTGACTTGAGAACCGGAATCGAGCAGTGCTCTGGCCAGCTGATACTCTCCAGATTTTCCTTGAATGGTTATGACTGCAGTGGCTAGAATAATTTGATCGTCATTCGATGAGCTATGATTCACAGAGGCACGAGAAATAATAGGTTGTTCTGGATTATAAGATAAACCTGTTTGAGGAGTGTTAGTAGAATATTGGTGTAAAAGAGTATGGTGCGACCGATTACACACTCTGCAGCGTGACGCCTTGCATCTAGATACCGTGTGCCCTTTCTTGAGACAATTTATGCATGCCGAAGATGATTTAATGAAATTGAACCGTTCAGTAACTGAGAGGGCAGCAAAGGCGGAGCATGAATTTATTACATGTTCCTTCGCATTACAGAACAAACATCTACTTTCCTCTTGCGAACTATTTTTCTTGCACATAAGTGACGATTTTACATTCTTACCTTGCCAGTTGTCTTGTTTTGGCCTGTTCGATCGAGACCTTGACGTAGAAGCTTCGTCAGCAGAAATGTGTTGGTATCGCTTATTTAATGCAGTCTCGCAATCAGACCAGAGCGGCAGCTTATTGTAATCTAATTGCTCCTCCCATTTAGATTTCGTGGCGGCATCGACTCTTGACATGCCTAAATGAATAAGAATCGCATTTGAAATGTTCTTATCATCTCCTATTGACAATAGGGACTCATATATGGCAGAAACAGTATCTATGATATTGCGTAATGCAGAAGCAGATGGCTTGTTCATTTCTGGCAGTTCAAAAAGCTGCGAGATACTATCGAAAAAGATTAGACAAGTGTTATCGTAAACTCTTTTTAAACTAGCTAATGCCTTTGAGTAATTAGTTTCAGTGAGTTGAAATGCCTTAACTGTACCAAGAGCTTCGTCAGACAAACACGAAATGAGATGATTGAATTTTTCAATATCACTTAGCGACTGATCATTGTGCACTAAGCTTTCAAAAAGGCTTATGAAGTTTTTGTACTCAGAATGTTTCCCACTAAATTTAGGTAAACGCATACTTGGCAGCCTGGAACGATGATTGCTGCATTCATGCGAAGTATCAGGAATACTAGACTTGCGGTTTTTACCTAACGCCTGTAGAAACAATGATTTCGAAGCAACGCAGATTTCTTCTAGATCTGGCCGAAATACATCAAACTCGTTGATACACTCTATTTTTTGTTGGCAAGTCATGGCCTGTTTAATGTATGAATTGAGAATGTCCAACCTACATTCCAGTTCTACAGGGTTTAAATCAACAGTTTTTTCAGAAATTACTTTTTTAATACGCAAGATACTGGCCACTACAGTTTCTCGCTGCTGGAGTAGTTTATCCAATTCTTCATTTTTTTGTGGGGATGATGCTCGCTTTTTAGTTGACATAGTGAACACAATTTACTAAATTTTTTAAGAGAGAAGGCAATGCAGCGCAAAGAACGATAAGAGTATTTGAATACTGTTGAGCGACGGTTGTAAGTAAATTCCAACAAAGTAAACGCGAGAAATTAGCGAAACGAAAGATGCACTCACTTTGTTTATAGAATAATAAAAAACGATAAATAATCAATATTGTGATTATGGGTAAATTCCAACAAAGTGGTTGCAAGTAACTAGCGAAAACGAAAACGAAAAATGCATTCACTTTGTATATAATTTGCCCCTGCAAATTACTCAATTATTTGTATTAAATAATTGGATTTACCGAACGTATTTGTTAATGAAGCTCAACCTCAGCTTCGTAAATTTGTTTCATGTGTTTTAAAAGTGCAAATAATTACCAGTGCAAAGTTATTTAAAATACTTTCTTGACTATTTTGTTTAGTCAGAGCATGACCTGGTACAACAATTTCATTATTTGCACTTTCTTACCTGGCAAACGGCAGTGGTGTTACAGTTGCACTCCATCCAGAAAGAGAAAACAGCAGCACTGGTGAATAGAAGCAGCAATGAAGAGCTGTATCGATCTGCAGTGACAGCGAACAGCAGCAGCGAAATGCAGTAGCAGTCTGCAGTAGCAGCGGCCAACAGCAGCAATAAGAATTGAGCAGGAAACTGCAGTAGCAGCGGCCAACAGCAGCAATAAGAATTGAGCAGGAAACTGCAGTAGCAGCGGCCAACAGCAGCAATAAGAATTGAGCAGGAAACTGCAGTAGCAGCGGCCAACAGCAGCAATAAGAATTACCCAAAAAAAAAATTATAGCAGCAGCCTGTACGTGTTTTCATCAGATAGATGAAATTGGCAATTTGTTGATTTTTTTTTTTTTTTATTAACGATTTTTGTCTGGTGCTGATACTTGACACCACACCGACATTTACCGCAACCACTTCACACGTGGAAAATGAAAAATTAAACTGAACGAAAATCACGATGCTGCCAATTGCAGCTCCACCGAACAATGTTCACTAAATTTCATTTTTTTTTTTTTAAAGTTTTTTACTACTTGACTTCAAGTCCCTGCTCGGGCGCCAATGAAAAATACAAGAGTTTTTGTATTTATTGAAGTTATAAAAAACGAAAGTTACAACGAAAGTATTTTATTCAAATTAATTACACTTTATTTAAGAAATTAAAATTTTAATAAATCACTTCGAAAATCGAAAATAAAACGCGTGCTGTTCATTTGGAACTTGAAATGCAAGAGAGCGATCGAGAATGCTAGTTCAATCTTGAAGTTAAAAAACTGTAAAATAATATTGTTTTTATATTTTAAAGTACCGTATATGTGCAAGGTTGACGAAAGTCAACATTGGGTTGCATATTTACCATAAAAAAATGAGCAGCACGCGCGTTATTTTAACTACTTTTAAAAGAAAGCAAATTAAACATAGAAAAAAATATAAACATTTAACAGTAATTATTCCAGAAAAATATATGAATTATTAGTTAATTAAAATTTATTTACAATTGAAACGGAAGTGCGTACTTGGATGTTTAAATTTCAAACATCTCTATATTTTTCCAAAGGATTATCGAAGGTATATTATTAATTAAAAATAACGCAATTTATTGTTGTAGAATAAAGTAAATATATAAATGTATTAACACATTAGAAACTTAGATGTGTGCCTAATTATGTATATAATAAACTACGAATTAAGTTGTGCTTTTATTTTTTATTTTTTCCATGATATACTAATAATTATAAAAAAGGAAAAATCCTGAAGAGAAATTAATATTATTAATTATACTTTGATTGAGTGTTGTTATTATATATACAAATATTGAAAAATTAGAATCACAATTTTCGGATCAGTTGGATAGCAATTGCTTTAAATTAGGTTTAGCGCAACATTTATTTAATAAATTAGAAAACGTTCATTCCTATATATGTTGCTCTAATTGCAAAATTGAAACTCTTCTATCTTTTTTCATTAAAGTAAGAATTTACTTCATTTTAAAATATTTCAATCGAGATAATAAAGTGTCGAATTTTAAATATAAACAATTATGCTTTCAACACTTATAAACAGTACAAAAGTGTTCATATTCTTTAAGTGATTTTTTGCTTAAACAAAAAATATTTTAGTTTTAATTTTATAATTTATTAAATTTATTTATAATTTATCTTTAATTTAATAGTTCCTTATTATTTTTGGTTTAATATTAAATATTTTTAAAATAGTAATATTATTTTGTATATATTAAGTTATTCTAAATTGTATTTACATAAAATTGTATATTTGTTAAATAAAATATTTTGGTGGATAGGCCTATTGGGGAACAGAACACCTAAAACTCGGTAACACGCCAGCAAGCATACCTCTTAGGTGGTGCGGAAAATGCTTATATATTTAATGCGATGAAATTGATCCTTATTGTTTACAATGTTGTTATTAACTAGTTAAGAATTTCTTGAATTTCATATACAAAAAACATTTCACCTTACTGAAAGGATTGCTTAAAACTACAAAAAATATGTAGTAGTAAACAGTATATACATTTTTCCGATTTTCTATATTGAAAAAATTTGATGCACAAGCAAAAACTGTATTACAATATACCAAACTTTTTTTGAATTTTAAAGAATTATATTAATATTAATCTTTTTAAAACAAAATATTAAAACAATGCAACCTAATACTCGAAATGTATGAACACATACTAACTTTTCTATTAGATGCTCAGCATATATATAAATATAGTACGTATATGTGCAACATGATTAAAAGAACTTTTATTTTAATAAATGCGATACAATTTTTTTAACTTTATTAAAACAATTTCATGACTAATTATATATACATATTTACATATATCAATAATAGCTACTTTATATTTACTATTGATTTTAGTTTACCAATTCTTCATTTATATTTGATTTATATAGCGCATTTAAAACTTTTATGTAAATTGAAGTAAAACTGATATAAAAAATCGTGCCTATATTTACTCATTATAATCGTATTAATATATACAATGGATTTTCCAAGAACAATAATTTATACTATTTCTTCTAATTAGAAGAAATGGCTACATACTAAAATGCAACCACAAATGTAGTAAATATTTAAGTTATAAGCCACACCGTTTTTAATATTTGACAATTCTGGTATGGTAAATAAGTAAAAGAGATTTTCTTTGCGATATTACACAAAGAGGCACCATTATTCAAAATTTCCTCTCAGTTTCTTTTCTTTATCTTCTTTGATTAAGACATTTGTCATTTTTAGTTTAATTTATAAATACCTAACAAAATGAATTACTGTGTCTTAAATAATATATGTTAATTTATGCAATTCTTAATATATGTCTCGCTCTCAACGAACGCAAATATCAATTCTTTCAAAATACGCTGGGAAATAATAAGTCTGTTCCACGAGCTACTCGTAGTAAAACTCAAGTAAAACACAAGTAAAGCACAAACTGAGAACGTAACACAAATAAAGTATAAAATTACACACTTTACACAGATTTTCATGGTACAGCTTTCTGTAAAATCTGGTGAGAACACCAGTGCTGTAGTAGTGCCAAAAATGTAACTATTCGTTACTTTGTATTCGTTACTCAAGAAATACCGGAGTAATTATTATTTGATTATGATTATTATTATGAAATAATAGGTTATAAATGCACCCCGACCTAAAAGATCTATTGTGCACTGCAAGTGGTTTAATTTTGGCTACAATTTTCAAACTGCCTGCTTTCTAAATAATATTTAATTAATATTAAGTATAATATACATACATATAATATTATATTAAAATATATTGAACTAAATAATTTAACCGAATTAATATTTAATTATTAATAAAAGTTATAAATTTTAAATTAGCTTACTACTCTGATAATTTATAATTATATTACAAACACTATCATCTATATTTACGCTAAAAGTTCATTAAAATAAACAATGGTAAAAAAAGAGTAGATAAAAAAGAGTAGACACATTTTTTCTCCACTCGTCTGTCAGAGCAATCCTAGAGCAAAAAAAAAAAAGAATTAATTTGCGTTAACAAGTCAAACAAACATGTTATACAATTTCTCGTGCGCGGTTCAAACCGCTTTAATAAACAAAATAATTAAGTTAGAAAAGTTACTTAATGTAAACGAAAACCCGAAAAGTTTTAAAAGTGTGGTGAAAGTTATAAATCCTAGCTATGGCAGCCAATGACTTGTGACATTATCCTAATTATCCTAATGAAAAAGGATTTTTTTTCATTTTCATGTAGTACCAATGTTTCCCGATCTCCTCCTACAAACGTGACATTTGAGCCATATAATGGTTGATGATTTGGCCCTTTCAGCGTAGCCGATAGCAACGTCATAAGTTTGTCAACTGTCTATTGCATTTTTGGCCATTTTGGGTGATGATCACTTAGCTACTTTCCATTCCGTTGACTGCCGAATAGATTTTGGTGTTAATAGACAGAACCAAGTTTTATCTATTGTTACATACCGATGCAAAAATTAAAATTTATATCGCCACGTTATGGTTTTTGGTCAACTGTCAGCAAAGTCAATTACTTTGAAAAAGCTTCCATATAAGCACATGTTCAGGCAAAATGCAGCCAAATCATTTCAGTGAATCTTTAAGATGCCAGCTATCCAGTTATTTCCTACAAGTTTACTATATAGCTTGCCAAAACAATTTTGTGGACTGATGTTTTGACATTTTTTGGTGGTGTCTACACCTTTCTTGGGGACCAGCGGCCGATGATGTGTTCGACATCATCGGTATTTATAGAACCAGGTTTAAAGTCATTTGTCTCAATTACAAGCAGGTATTGAGACCTGTTTGGATATATGGATCACAACTATGGGGTTGTACATCTGCCTCAAATAGAAAATTAATCCAACGCTTTCAAACCGACATGCTAAGTGTCATTACATTTAAACACACCAATAATCGCAGATGAATTGAAATACTACGCTGAAGCACATA